TCTTGGCAGTTATTTTAAATTTAATTCTTGATATTAATTGTACAATAGAATCATAATTTTTTAATCATTAGTTATTCTCATTAATTTTAATACTTCAAATTAATAACAAGTTAATATATAATTGATCCAAACTTTTGCTAAACTTTATTCGATACCATGATTTTAGATAGATTTGAGCATATTATTTATAATAACTAGAATCTATATGCCTTCAAATTTAATAGCTTTTCCATCTAAAGAAGGAAAAGTTTATTAAAAGAAGCACTAGATTAAAATATTATGGAATGTTATTTTTTTCTTGGTGAATAATTTATAACTTAATTATATCCAATTACTTATGGATTAACAAAATTAGTAATGGTATTCAAATTGATCCAGAAATACAATTGAAAGGGGTATTTAGGAAATGTTATTATAGAATTTGGAAATGGTAAACTAAAAATAATTAGCATGGTTTAAAAAGAACATTTAGATAATATTATAGATGTAGCTGCAATTTCACATGGTGCAAAACATAATAAAGCCGCTATTTAAACTTTTTTTATTATAAAAATTTATATGAATAAGAATATGAATAAAAAAGTAATTCTATATACTTTAAGTTAAGCTTTTATGATTGCTAAGAAAAATGCACATGAATTTAAAATTAATATAAAATAGCATCAATTTAAGCATTTCAAACATCTTTAGAAACTTCATCTAGAATGGATAGATCGTTTATGAAAGTAAATAACAGTAGAAAAATTAGATATAGCAATGTAAGATTCAAGTATCCTCCATAATGATGTGGTTTTGATTTACTTTATAATTCAATTGCTCCAATAGATAAAGATAATAATATGATAGGAGATTTGAATTAATAACAAAAAAACAATTGATTATAATATTTATAATCAATATTCAAGGTAGATATTTTAAATTTAGTTTAAAAATAAAACAGAAACTATAGATTTCCTAATTAATTATCAGTGATATTTTTTATTACTTGTTTATAGTATTGTAAAGAATCGAGATGTAAATAACAAATATTCACACTATACCATTTTAATTGATTTTAAGGGAAGAATCAATATAAGATAAATATATTGATATTTTTCCTTTTATAAATTTAAAAATTAAAATATATATATACTTTATAATATTGATTCAGCATTGATATAGATAAAAGTATAGAAAAATTATATAGTTTAATAAGTGATTTTACATTTTAGTTTCCTGTTTTAATTACAACAATAAATTTTCTTTTATATAATAACATGCGGTTATTAAATAATTCACAGAGAATTAACAGAAGAATGTGAATTAATGAGAATGATTCAAAAATTTAATATATTATGATATTAATTAAAAATCTATAAAATTATTTTCATTTAAAAGATTATAAGCTTAAAGGTGAATTACCTCAACCTCTATTTGCAGTTGTATTATGTGCAATTTTATAACTGTTCTAATACTTTAAAATGTTTAGTGAATGGTTTTTTTAATGATTCAGTTTTATCTTCTAATCCTCAATCTTTTTTATTTAGAAAGAAAAATGGATGATTAGATATAATCTTTTTTACAGATTATTTTTGAATTCTAGCAGATCTAATAAAATAATATGATTAATCTTTTAATACTAATATCATAATTATTGAGAGAGAATTAATATCTAAAGATGCGCATTTTAACAAAAACTAATAAAATTGAATGAGTTGTATGTTAATTATAAGTTTTTATTATCTTAAATAGAAGTATGATTATTATCTATTTGATTATCTTTTTAATTATTTCTAATATCTAATTCTGAAGAATTTGATGGATATATTTTATCTGTTGTTAATATTCTTTTAATAATTTAAAACTATCTTTCCTTTTTTAAAGTATAAGTATCAAATCTAATTGAAGATTAACGAGGTATAATTTCTTCTGATGAATCTTTAATTGTAAAAGTTAGGTTCTTAGTTTTATTTTGAATTCATAGGTAATTACATTAATACTTAATCTTTTTCTCCTTCTGATTCTTCCTCTGATATATCTTAATATTCATCATCTTTCCTTAAATCAACTCTAACACTTTTTTCATTTCTCTTAAAATCCTGCTGTTTGAAGAGTAGCTTTAAGATTATTTGGTTTTCTTGAATATTTTTAGAATCATCATCTTCATTTTCTGTTATCATAATTCATTAATTAAGTTTCTAACTAATTTTACTAGGTGATCTAGAATTACTTCTCTAGTTTAAAGATTATTGTATATCTATTTCCTTATTAATATTATTATAATATTAATTTCATCTTCATAAAAACCTCATTCATCGAAATAGAATGTTATTCATAACCTTCAATATCTGTTCCTTTACTTTCTAAATATGATTATTCTTATTATATCTCTTATCTACTTATTTTTTTATTTCTTGGTTAATCATGAGGATATAATTCCTTACTTTATCAAGAAAATAATGTAAATAATGATATTTTTTTATTAAATTTTAATTACTTTAACAACTATAACAAAAAACTTAAAGTATGTGTAATAGTGTTTATTTTAATTATTTATTTTTAATTCTTTTCTAAATGCACTAGATATTACAGTTGCTTTATAAGGTTAACCTGTAAAAAAATAAAAATTCTCCAAAATAATCTCCTTAATAAAGAAATTTAAAACTATTCCTTTTAACTCTTTCATTTAAATTATTAAAACCTTTCAAATATAATTTTACTTCTCCTTTTGTAATAATATATAATGAAGAATCATCTAATTTATTTAATATCTATCCTAATAATTATTATATCATTTTTCTTGAAAATTTCTTTATCATCACTTTATAACTGCTTAAAATTTTCCTCTTAACTGATATTATAATTCCTCTTATAAATTACTATTCAATTTACATATTAATTATGATACTTCTTCATCGTTCATGTTTTATTTCTCTTACCAAATATACTCTAAATAACTTCTAATTCTTGTCTATAATTCATTTTCAAATTAAATCTTATTTTTTGACACAAATATATTTATTAGTGTTAGACTTTTACTATATTCCATAGCACCCTTATACATATTTGATACAAATATTCCTATACTATTCACTAAATAAGCAAACTAGTGATGTTATTAAAATAATCAAATTATTCATTAATAATTCTATATTATTTTTAGATGTTATATCACCAAAATCAACTGTTGTCATTGTATTTGTAGCCCAATAAAAATGCTTTGTTATATTTACATGTATTTTTTTTATCTCTTAAATCATACAAGAATAACCATAAATCCAACTAAATCATTTAAAGATCTAAAACACTGTATTCAATGAAACCTTAAATCCTTTATATTTACTATTATATACCAAATCAACAAATGCATATTATTTAAAATAATTTATCAACATTCTTTTTCTATTTCTAATTATAATTAACTTCTATATAAAAGCTAAATTCAAACCAAAAAAAACATCTAAACTCAATAAATAAAAATCATTATGTTTAATAAGAAAAAGAAAGCATCTTGACAGATATTTTAATTTTAATTCTTGATATTAATTGTACAATAGAATCATAATTTTTTAATCATTGGTTATTCTCATCAATTTTAATATTTCAAATTAATAAAAAGTTAATATATAATTGATCCAAACTTATTGCTAAACTTTATTTGATGCCATGGTTTTAGACAGATTTGAGCATATTATTTATATTAACTAGAATCTACTTTTGATTATATGGGATAAATGCCTTCAAATTTAATAGCTTTTTCATCTAAAGAAGGAAAAGTCTATTAAAAGAAGCACTAGATTAAAATATTTTATAACTTAATTATATCCAATTACTTGTGGATTAACAAAATTAGTAATGGTGTTAAATGCTCTTCAAATTGATCCAGAAATACAATAGAAAGAGGTATTTAGGAAATGTTATTATAGAATTTGGAAATGGTAAACTAAAAATAATTAGCATGGTTTAAAAAGAACATTTAGATAATATTATAGATGTAGCTGCAATTTCACATGGTTTAAAATATAATAAAGCCGCTATTTAAACTTTTTTTATTATAAAAATTTATATGAATAAGAATATGAATAAAAAAGTAATTCTATATTCTTTAAGTTAAGCTTTTATGATTGCTAAGAAAAATGCACACGAATTTAAAATTAATATAAAATAGCATCAATTAAAGCATTTCAAACATCTTTAGAAACTTCATCTAGAATTGATAGATAGTTTATGAAAGTAAATAATAGTAGAAAAATTAGAAATATTAAGATTCAAGTATACTCCATAATGATGTGGTTTTGATTTACTTTATAATTCCATTGTTCCAATAGATAAAGATAATAATATGATTGAAGATTTGCATTAATAACAAAAAACAATGGATTATAATATTTATAATTAATATTCAAGGTAGATATTTTAAATTTAGTTTAAAAATAAAACAGAAACTATTGATTTACCTAATTAATTATCAGTGATATTTTTTATTACTTGTTTATAGTATTGTAAAGAATTGAGATGTAAATAACAAATATTCACACTATACCATTTTAATTGATTTTAAGGGAAGAAT